GTGGGAGGAGTCAGTGTATTCTTGTCAACTAGAAAAGAGAACAACAATCTTCAGGGTCAGGTGGTTCCTGTCCCAGCTCCTCCACCAATGAACTGGGGAAAGTTCCCTAATCTTTCTGTGCCTTAGTATCTTTGTCTTCATAGAAAATTAAAATTCACTGAGTTCAGTCTGGAATAGCCATTGTCAATGTAATAGAAATAATTTCAAATTGAATTCTATGGTTTCATGACTAAGCAATTCCAATATTGTTCTAACTTCTATTAATTCAAACCACTAAGGTTTGAGATGTGTCAAGTGGCTTATCTATTAATATAAAAGGTCTGGATAGTGGCCTGGCTTGTCACATTTTGGTCTGTAGACCAGCAGCACAGAGAGCATCTGGTAGCTTGGTAGAAATGCAGAGTACCTGGTGCCGCTCCAGGCCCGCTGAATCAGAATATGCATCTTACCCAGATCCCCAGGTGATTTATGGGTGGATTAATGTTGGAAAACTGCTGCACTACATGGTTGACAAAATTCATGTGAACTCACAGGGATGTATTCACATCCCTGTGCAAAGAGCAGGGAGCCTCCCATCAGATCTCTAGATGACAGTTTGCAAAATCTTGGAAGAGTGAGCTACCCATACTTGAGTTCACCTTTTGTGCCTCAGCTCCTTCATCTGAAAAAAAAATGGGATTGTTGTAAGGATTGCCAAGCATGGCAGATCAGCAGTTTATATACTACCAGCACGGTGGAAACTCACTCGATCACTAACCATTTACTGCAAACCCATTAAGTAGAGGTGAGACTCATGCTGGAAGCCCTGAATGCAGCACTAGATAAAAGAGAGTCCCTACTTTCATGAGACTTACAGTCCAGCAAAGGAAGTTGGCAATAAAATAGCAGACATGTAAACAATAACAAAAAAGTGTCACTTATTGATATGCTCTGTGATGTCTAGAGAATAGCAGGGCTACTACAGACTGGAGAGGCAGCACGTGCTTTCAGAGAAGAAAACAATGAATGAATATCAGAACCAGCTATTACTGAAGTAGTTTATGGAGCAAAGTTCCAAGCACAGTGTTGAGCATTTATATGCATTCATTTTTTTTTTTAGCATCCACCATTACCCCAGAAAAGTGGATGACTTGCTTGAATAAAGATATTCAATGGACAATCAGATATTTAAAGTAGAAGTATCATGGAAAGATTTTTTTTTTATATTGAGGAATTTGAACTCATGGTGTTTTAACACTAAGCCCCATTCCCAGCCCTTTTTATTTATATTGTTCATTTTGAGACAGGGTCTTGTTAAGATGCTTAGGGCATCTCTAAATTGCTGAAGCTGGCTTTGAACCTCTGATCCTCCTGCCTCAGCCTCTGGAGTTTCTGGGATTACAGGCATGCCCTGCCATAAAAAGATGTTTGTTGGTCTTATACACATGTTGTAACAACCTTACTCCAATTAGGATGTTGAAAAAGTATTATTACTCTTTAATCCAACTTACAAAAAAACCCACAAAACTCTTGGAACTACTGAACCCAGCATTGAAGGAAAAAAATGACTATTCTGTACATCCCACAACATAATCTTAGAATCCAGATAAGCACTAGAACTTGGAGATAGTAATATGGCCTTGTTCATAGAATTTCTTTCCACACATAGAAATGAAAAACTCCATGTCCCTTTTAAAAAAATACATATGTTTAACTATGTAACTTGGCTCTATTCCAATTTACACTTTGCCTAAGAATTTCGGTTTCTGGGCTTAGTTTATATTTTTCTTAATTTCCCTTTGCTATGCAATAAACAAGCATAAATAACTGTTATGTGGTATCAGTGGCATGAAATAGCTTCTTTATTCCAACACAGATGGGGTATCTTAATAATGGGAAGATGATCTCACACTTTAAAGTGCTTTGATATAAAAGGTGCCATATAAAAAGGAAGTTATTATTCTTAGTTATAATGCCCTAAAAAAAGGATTTGCCATCTAAATGGCTGCTGAAACTTAATGGCAGAATTGCTTATAATGCTACAATCAGTTGAGGCCAAATTCAATAAAAACTCCATCCGGCATTCACACTGAGAAGACCCACATGTGCCTTTAATTTTTTTTTTTTAATTTCCTGGGCTTCTGGCCCAGAAATTGAATGGAAATTTTATTTAAACCTGCTCTTGTGTATCAACTTTTGGTAAATATCAGGTTTTCAGTTGACTTACATTTTGCTTTACATTTTGGGCAAAGAGAGAACACAGAATGTTGCATCTCCTTCTCCATTCCTACATTTATACATCTTTTACCTGTTACAACTAGGAAATTGCAGCATATGCTAAATGTTCATCATCGCTTTTACAAATTTTAGGATACCTCCGCCTCCTTCTGCTACAACCACAGGATCTGAAATTCCATTAAATCCTTTTCCAGTACTAATCAGCTTTCCCCAGCACAGGCAATGTAATCTGAGTTTGGAAATGACTGATTATTTGGAGAGGGCTGTGAGGGGTTAGGGTTTAGATTTCTCTCTGTCTAATTTAAGGGAGCTTCTTTCCTGTCTTTCTCACTGTCATTTTGCTGCCCCTGGCCAGTTCTCCCTCCTTGATAAAGATGCTCTTTCCCTACCCATTAGACAGAACATATATGTGTATATTAGAAGGAAATGCATTATGAAGCATCAATATGAAAATATTAAAAGAGGTAACGCCTGTGATGGATGTAGTCATAGCAGTAATTGCACCTGCTAGGTGCAAAGCATGAGCATAATTTGCATGTAAAGTTCTCTCAGCTCCTTCCAGAACACACCAGTTCTATCCAATAAAACATTCTGTCACACTCAGGGGGTTTGCCAACATGTTCCCAGATTGCAAGCAAAAAGATTATTTACAGTAACCAATAAGAACTGAAAGGACCATAAACCACCTTTCTTTACCTCCTCTATTTTCCCTCCCCAACTCCCGCCCTTTGGCTAAGCAGAGAGACCTTAAGGAGTCCAAATTTACTGAAATTTAATTCTGATGGGAAAAGCATGTTATTTTTATTTATAGCATTGTGCTGTATCTATCCCTGACCCCCCCCACCACCACCACTTTAAAACATAAATAACTCCAGCTTTTCTTTTCTTTTTAAAAATCTAGCCATTATTCTTACAGGGATGAGCATTTATTTGATCAGTGATAGACCAAAAGTGGCCAATATCAGAGGAAGTTCCAAAGTGTATTCCAGAACTCTGGTGTATATTCATGGGGTAAGACAGCATCTTTATTGAAATAGTTCTGGAATAGGGGAACTCACCTGCTCATTGAAGCAATTTCTTTGTGCCAAGGGAAAGGCTGAGGCTACATGCTGGTTTCACTGTAGAGAGCAGTGCCCTGCATCTTAGAGCTGGGTACCACCTCCTGTCTTCTAAACTCCCTGAAATATTCCCATAAGTTCAAATTCTATTCTGAATTGCAGGAGATCAGACACTTATTTCTTGGGGAAATGGACAAGAATAAGAAGGTGCAATCCAAACAGTCATTTCCCAGGAAACCTCCTTTCAGATATGGTTCACCAAGGTGGGGGCCCTTGAGATGCAGCTTTGTTCTGCCTGTAGGACTTGGGGGTGGGGAGTGCAGGGACAAGGCTGTAAACTCAAACAGGGAAGTCTAGCGACTAGTTTTTGTTTTGTTTTGTTTTGTTTTTATTTTTTAGTTGTAGTTGGACACAATACCTTTATTTCACTTATTTATTTTTATGTGGTTCTGAGGATAGAACCCAGGGTCTCGCAGGTGGGAGGCGAATGCTCTAGGGCTGAGCCACAACCCCAATCCTAGCAAGTAGGTTTTTAAGAAGGAAAATTAACTGGTGATACAGTTTAAAATTAATAAGAAATAACTATAAAATGGAAAGTCTCACTCACAAGGGTTATTGTTAACAGGACTCTGGAACATCTTTCTAAAAATTATGAAAACATCCATATGTACATGTGTTATGAGTAAACACAAAACCATAATACTTTTGCTATATCAAATTTTTTCTCTTAATACCTCTGGAAGGTCATTTGTGTCCATGCCAGTAGATGTCCTAGCTCTGCCCTCTCTGTAGGAGCTGTGCTACATTCCTCTGTGATTAGCCAGTTCTTTAAAGATAGACAGATAGGTTGTTTACAACTTTTGCATACAAGATGCATGGTTTGCACAGGTATGGGGGAGCCATGCCCAGCAGTTCAACTCAAATATTTGAGACTTCTGCAAGCTGTGTTCATCTCCAACTGACCTTTACCTGTATGTATTTAGGAAAATAGAGTAAGATCTGTTTCATAGGGAACTTTGGATATTCTTACAACTGAGTCACTGAAACCTTAAGCAAATTAATTTCCTCATCACCAAATCAGGCAAAAATAATAGATGTGCAGTTTTTCTGAAGACCATAGGAACCAATTCGTTTATAGCACAGCCCACTACCTGTCTATAGCTAATCCTTAACAATTATCTGTTTTACTAAGGAAATTGGAAATTTCTGCACACTTGCGTGAGCGCAGCTGCAGCAGGTTTTCTTAGAAGTGGAATTGCTGCCTTTAACCCCGTGCGCCCGGGACCCCAGCTGTGCGGCACTAGGCCACCCAGTGGTGACACGCTGACCACCGCCCATCCCGCGCCACCGCCAGGGCCTTGCGGAGGCTGGGCGCACGTGGGTGCACGCGGCCCAGAGCCGGGTGGCTGGAGGCGCTGGGGGCGCGGCGGGAGCGAGGCGGGAGCCCCCGT